CCATTAACTAGAATAATCAACAATTGACCAAAAGTATTATTCAAATCAGTTTGTATGGTGTTTAGCATTAATACAGCACTGCCACACATGAGCTAGGCTGATACTCCTGTGAGACACACATTATCCCTGGGCTTATTTTGTTCATGAGGACACTGGGCTGAGGAGTGACTTCCCCGAGGTTAGACTGCGCTTGGTAAACAAGTCCTGATTCAAACCTTCTGACTTCAAATCTCATGCTAATTCTAGGACAGCACTCTGTTCCTGGTAAATCGCTTAAAACCTGGGCACAAACACAATCCTGGAATTTACTGCAGGACAAGACAAGAAGCGTGCTATGACAGTGCACTGGTTCCCTGGAGGAAAAGCAGACGCGTATGCTCTACTGGGTAGCACAGGCCTTTCGTCCAGGTAGGAAGTCCAGCAATGACGAAGACTTGAGGCTGACTGCTCTGGGCTCCTGTTCCAGCTCTGCTCTACAAGTTTATCTTCAGTTTTTGTCATAAATTGAGAGTAATTCCCTACCACACAGGACGGTGAGGACAGAGACAAGATGGCTGCAAACACTAAGCTCTGCTCCTGGCATCTTTTTTTTTTTTTTTAAATATATCTTTACTGATTTCAGAGAGAGGAAAGGAGAGGGGGAGAGAGAGAAACATCAATGATGAGTCATTGACTGGCTGCCTCCTGCAGGCCTCCCACTGGGGGGTCAAGCCAGCAACCTGGGCATGTGCTCTGACCAGGAATCGAACCCCGGATCTCCTGGATCCTAGGTCAATGCTCAAGCGCTGAGCCACGCCCAGCCAGGCCTCCTGGCATCTATTAATATGGGGCAACAGTGCCAGGTCCTGACCACTAGGCAGGTCCCCTGGTATACGACAGTAGTAAGATGATACAGGGTTTGCAGCCTGGAATGGGACGGGTGCCTTGTGTCAATCAAGTCCCCTCACGTGGGTCTTAGCATCCTCACAAGAAACACTAACATCTTCATGGCAGGGTTGTTTTAGCGTTAACATAAGTATACAAAGAACCCAGCATAGTGCTAGCACATGGCAGACAATTAATGGAGGCTGTTATTTCTGTCAGTGATGCTGAAAAACTTCAAGTTGACTTGCTTTAAAAAAAAAAAAAAAAGCATTTTCTTGCTTAATAGGAAAATTGTGGTTTAACAAAGCATTTGAATGGTTGAAATCAAGATTTAACCTGTTACTGTTTCCAGTGACTTCTTCTTAAAGTATGGATTTTAAGTGAGAAAGTATCAACCCCATCTTTATGAACAAAATCGGATCATACCAAGTTTTGAGGCAAGAGAAGTGAACTGATGTCTTTCTTTATTCCAGGTAAAGCTGTATTTGTTGTCATCCTTTTGGGGGGAACAGGATACAGCACACTGATGCTGGTTTGTGAGGAGCACAGATAAATAGTTAAAATCAATATTCTAAAGCAATGACCCTCATAAAAACCTCAAGAGGCTATCTTGATTCACGACACCTCTTTCCTAGTTCTCTTCCTGAGCCCTCCACACATTAGCCTAAGAGAGGGTGATGAGAACATGAGTACCTCAGGCAGTAACTAACTAGAAATTTCTCCAGATTAAACAAACCCAAAGGCCTACCTCTGGAATTACCTAAAACCACCCAGACAGAAAAAGTGAAAACGAATGGATTATAAGCTGGAACCTAGAGGGAGACAGGCAACACCCTAAAATCTTATTCTGCACATGCTAGTGATGACAGGTTCATAAAGTACTTCAGCTGGTACAACGGAGAAAAGCCAGATCTCCTGCAAAAGCCTTGTCTTTAAAAGTGCAGACAGAAAGTTAATTCTGCCTAACGCAAAGGTTTAACATCTTGATACATTTTACCTGGAACACTGTATGAATGACACAAAAGGTTATTTCAAGTAAATACCCAGCCTTTCTAAAATAAGTATATAGCAATAATAAAATAGCTTTTACTTTGGTAAATGCTTTATTACTTCAGAACTTGTAACCACTGATAGTCTTGTGTACCAAGAGGACCACACCACAATGCCCAAGTCACTGGAAGATGCGTCTCTGTGGGTGGCCCATGGGTCCTGTCACTGCAGTCAGTATCCTTCTCAGGACCTGGAGTACAGCCTCTGTGCTCCGCCTCGGGAATGCCAGCCATGGCTACTCAATACACACCAATTAACTGAGTGAACCAAATTTCCTTAGTCCAGTTTTAAAGTATTCCGTTCTAATGGAAACATTTTAGAGCCTATCTGAACTGTAATAACTTGGTTATTAAATATATGGAACCGGTGGCTGCCAAAGGCAGGGGGTGGGGGTGGGCAAAATGGGTGAAGGTCACAAGGTAGGTACAAACTTCCACTTATAAAGTAAGTCATGGGCCCGGCTGGTGTGGCTTAGTGGATTGGGTGACATCCCGTGCACCAAGAGGTCGCCGGTTTGATTTCTGGTGAGGGTACATGCCCGGGTTATAGGTTTGATCCCTGGTCAGGGAGCATGCTGGAGGCAACCAATTGATGTTTCTCTCTCTCAAATAAAATAAATTAAAAAACAAGTGTTCTACATTAGATAGCTTTTCACTAAACTATTTTCAGAAAGAATATAATCCCATTTTCAGCACTCCTCCAGGGTTACCTGGATCTTTCTATTTTATTTTATTATGATCTAAAGCCTAATCTTGCCCTGGCCAGGTAGCTCAGCCGGTTAGTGTCATTCTGATACCCTAAGATTGTGAGGTTGGATCCCCAGTCAGGGCACACACAAGAATCAACCAATGAATGCATAAGTGAGTAGGGCAACAAATCAATGTTTCTCTCCCCCTTACTCTCTCTTTAAAATCAGTCAATAAAAAAATTAAAATTAAATTTTTAAAAATATGTTATTGATTTCAGAGAGAGGAAGGGAGGAGAGATAGAAACATCAATGATGAGAATCATTGATCAGCTGCCTCCTGCACACCCCCCTATTGGGGATCAAGTCCCCAACCCAGGCATATGCCCTGACCAGGAATCGAACCTCGATCTCCTGGATCATAGGTTGATGCTCAACCACTGAGCCACGCTAGCTAGGCAAAACCTAAATTTTGATGCACTAAGTACTTATCTGTGATGTTTTGTTTTTTTACTGTCCAAGGGAATTAAGTGATTTAAAACTGCTAAATCCAACAAAAGCTGCCTCTATAATGTCCCACATTTTTCAAAGAAAAATGCCTCACCATTTGTCCTATTGGAAACTTCATTAAAGATAGGGAAAAAATATCCAGCATTTGACTCATCCCAGTGTCATTCACTTACCTCATTTATTTCTCAGAACCATGCTATATGAAACAGGTGTTTTAAAAGTAAAAAACCATGGGTCAAGAGTTAAGCAAATTTATTGAAGATCAAACCCCTAAGGGACAAAGATGCACTCAAATACAGCAAGGCTTGGCCTCTGTGCTTCTCTCTCTCCACTACAGCCGTCTACACCAAAACGAAATATATATGAAGAAATCTGGTATTAGCAACTGTGTTCTATTTAATCTTCACTGCCATAATTTAACTTATTAGCTCTAATAAAACAGAAGTGAAAAACTAGTAAATAGAATTTTATATAAGCAAAGACTCTTTGAAACTACTTTGTCACTAAATTATTAAGTATTTTAGTTATTTCATATAATACACGTTTTGTTTATTGTCTGTTTAGGTAAATCTTAACAAATTTCAACACTCAAGATTCTTAAATGTTTTGGAGTCTTGCTGGAAAGTAAATGCCTATTTGTAGGTACTGATATACAAAAAGTTCATTTTCATGTACGATCAAGTATAATTTGCATTTCTCTAACAAACAGCCTCCTATAATGGAAATTCACTGTAAAGCAGAAATTTAAGTCTGGCATAAATAGAGCTCTCAATAGTTTACTAAAGAAACAATCAAAAAACAACTTGTTTCACTTACAATAAATGCCACATAGATCCTTACATGCTACAGTGGCTACTCAACGTTTCCCTGTGGCAGCTTCATAAAGGATGTAAAATAAACTATGGAGAGAAACTAATTCTCTGCAATATATGTTTAAAGTGACCCATATATCGCTTAGAAATGGAAATTCCATTGACCCTTTCAATATACGGGCAGGTAAGGACACAGATTATCATGCAAGAAGTTAGTCTAAACCAGGTCAGCAAATTTAGGGCCAGAAAATAAATAATTTCAGCTCTGTGGGTCACATGGTCTTTCTATCATAGCCACTCAACTTTGCCATTATACAAAAACAGCCACAGACAATGTGTAAGTGAATGAGCATGGCTGTGTGCCAATAAAACTTTATTTATGGATACTAAAATTTGAATTTCATATAATTTTCATGTGTCACAAAATAGGATTCTTCTTTTGACTTTTTTAAACCATTTAACAATGTAAAGATCAATCTTGGCTCACAGGCCATACAGAAACAGGGGGAGGGCTGGATTTGGCCTGTGGGAAATACTTTTCCAACCCCTGGTCTAAATATATATTCTGTTTTGACATTTATTTGCTGACAATTATGTAACTTCTACTTCATTATTAAGTGAAAACAATAATACAAAATTTTGCTTAAGGCTTTGTCTAAACTGCTGGTGTACAAATTTTTAAGATAAAAATTTAAAAATCACTTATGTCAAAATTAATACTGCTAGAGGAACTGGCTAAGTTTCATTTATTTCTTGATGTTACATCTATACAGCTCTCATGCACACAGCGGGGAACATACCTTCGTTTCACAATGACATCTGGCTGCACTTCCGATTATAACACAGCAAGTGCAAGTTCACTTGGAAATGTACATTTATACACCTTATATAAATTAAATACACTACACTAGGACTTGTAATAGCAAAAGCATGATTTTGATATTCCATGACTAGCCCACTTCTGCTTGGCTTAATAAAAAATGTACCCAATCATTTAAAACTGGCCATTTGGGGAATAGGATAGTATATAAAATGTTTGTTGTGTAAAATTTAACCATTTACCTTTTTAGAAAATAATCTTCAAACTTTAAACCCTTTTATTGAATTGTTATATGGATATACATCATTATAGCAAGAAGACTTAGCAAGTTGACTAATTTTTTAAAAATTTGTTCACGAAATAATAACATTATTTTTGTTAAAACAAAACAGTAGCTAAATGAATCTTTTCTGTCTACATTTAACGTGTTAGGTTGCTTCCAAGTCAACTTCCCAGCCAAAAAAAAAAATCAGTCTGAGACTCACTTGAGTGTTTAATTCAAACCTATATTTGTAGTTCCTAAAATGTTGATCCACAGACCACTTTCTTGTTACACATGTGTACCAACGAAAACAAAAGGCAGAGAATCACTGCCATCCCTACAAAAGGAATGGCTCCTTTTCTAACATTCTTTAAAAATATACATTGTACAGTCTTTGCGCCTCACCAAAGATGGCGATGTAATAAATACACTGGCTTAGTTGTCCTCGCTGCTCAGCAAGGCCCACCAACTACCTGCTATAAGCCCTCTCCTTTTTGGATTTCTCCAGGGCTTTGTCCATGGTTTTCTCATTCTCCCCTCGACATTTGGGACAGTACCACTTGCCCTTTGGTTTATGATTCAGTCCTACACAGGAGAAGTGGAACCACTCAATGGGGCACTCGTCATTGTCACAGCCAATCATTTCTCCATAGGAGACCTGATTGCACAGACAGTACGTGGGCTCGTTTGGGTCGATGGGAAGGTCTGCAGGGGATGCTTCCCTCTCTGCTTTGGCCTTGGAGCGTTTCTTCTTCTTGGAGGCCTTTGCTTTCTTCTCCTTAGGGGTTCCTGAGGTGATGTCATCATGGTCGTGATTATTAGCTGCATTCTCCCGATTTTCATTGTTGCGCTGTCGCCGAGACCTCTTGTTATTGGGCTTTTCCGCCTGTGTGATTGTCTCATTCTTGGACTTATCCTGGCCGGCTTTGCCACTGTGGCCAGTGGTGTCATTGACCTCTTGGTGTGCCTCAAAGAGTTCCACATGACTGTCCACCTGCCTGGTCCTATTCTCCACCAGCTCCACCATCTGACTCACAATCTGGATCTTCTCGTCACCCAGCTCCTGGCTCCGGATCAGGGCTCTCTGAATGCAGTTCAACATTCTCCTCTTGTGGTTGCTGTCCGTCTCCCGTTTAAATTTCTCATAACAGTCATCTAGTTCCTTCAGGATTTCTGCAAAGGAAAAAAATAAGCATTACACCCACACTATAAACACAACCAAGCCTTTTATTTAATTCTCTAGTCTATGAAAAAGTAATTGCAAAGGACAGAAATTATACATGCAAGCTTTCCTAGTATGAAAAATTTTATAACTTCTATGTCCTCCTAGACTTTTTTCTTTTCTGTTGAAAAAAAGTCCCTGGAACTAAATACAAATGTCAACACAGTTCTCATTTAGCAAAGTGCCACTCAAAGCTCGCCAAGGGATTCTCTGTGTGTTCAGAAGCATAAGTAACAAATACTCTTGGGATGGGCAATTAGGGGAAAGTTCAAATTCAGACATAGTGTTGGGGCACAAACTTTTATTTTCAATAAAATTAATGATTATGTCCTATATTTTCATTGTTTTTATTCAAATATTTTTCTAATAAATTAATGCACTTATGTCTAGAATATCCTAGGAAATTAAAGACTGCATCTAAATATTATATGACCCAGAGCCTCAATTTATCAGTCACATCATTTTCACCCTAGCATGTAATTCCTCTGTATTACTGAAAACAAGAAAGGTTTGTTACAATAAGCCAGACAACGTGGCCTTGCTTTCAAACAGAGGTGGCAGATTTTGCTTTTGCATTTACTGCTTAAAACAATAGCATATTTATATCTATAGATTGTAAAACATTATAAAAAATGAATTAAAAAACATCAATACTAAATTTAAACCTTCTTAGACAGATAGCAAGACACAGCATGTGAATTTAAAATGTAATTAGGCAATTTCTCAAGAAACAAAAGCTGTTAAAAAATCTGATTGAAAAATGAAAACATTCTTACCAAAAGCCTAAATACACAGGTAGAATTTCCAGAGTTATTTTCCCCAAATAGTATCAGACTTTTCTCCTGAAAACCCTTTGCAGTCTTCTCAAAATAAGGCAGTTCTACTCTCCAACTAGGAAGTGTGTGTGTGGAGATGTGGGGAGAAAATGTGGCTATGGCCCAGATCTTATCTCCAAATAGTTATAAGGCATAAATCTAAAACTTAAGTAAACATATGAACCTAGTCAAACACTGAAACTTAGCTAAACAGTAAGTATTATTTTCCAGGCTATATTCTAAAAACTAAAATAACTCTGAAGATATTTCCTAGCAGCAGAACAATGTAGAAAAGTCTCCCACCAGAAAGGAGGAATGCCATTATCTTACAGCCCCTTAGAATAATTAATTCTGAAAATAAATAGCTATGCTCAACCTAATCCAAGTTCTATTTCATAGATTTTAAATTGAGTTTCTGCCATTTATTTTTAAATGAATTGCACATTACAGAAGTATCATTTGGTTTAATAAGTAACCAAATTTCTAGAGATAGTAAGGATGCAAGCATGCTTACATCCCTGTGAAGCCTCACTTGTGGGAAAGAAGCAAACACCACAAAGTTAGCAGTAAGTAACTGTTACCTTCATAATGGCACGTATTTCTGTATTAACAAAGCTGTAGATAAACAGGAACACCAGTGCTAACTAGGGAGGCATCTGGCCAGGATACCCACTTCTTCAGCCCCATGAGCTCAAACTGCTACTGACCCTTTCATCTAGAAATGCTCCACAGCAAGATTACTGTAGGAAAGCAATGGTACCATAAAAAAAAAAATTAAGGATTAAGTAAGATTGCAGCAAAATTCAATCTGACCTTTCCAATGAACAGAAATGAATTTTAATTTTTACATAAGGTTTGCACTTAAGTTCTTTATGAAGCTGACTTCCATGGTGGTGGGTGCATATTTAAAAAATAACAGTTGAAAAATAATTTTGAATCCAGTAACACAAGAATAACATCAAATACCATTTTTAATTAGTAAATTAATTATAATCCATCCTTTTGACTTAATCTCCTATACTAAGCAAAAGACTTAACCAACTTTGACTTGCAACACAGTTCCTGAAATATAAAAGCTTAATTTTTTAGAACTATGCTGCATTTATTCTAATTCCGAACCAAATGAGATATGACGATTTTCATGACGGATGATTAGGCTTTACATGTGCCGGGGTGGGGGTGGAATTCACTTTCTCCAGAGGAGCAAAATAAACACCGCCGCGTGTGTGAACTGAACCGCGAACCGGGTTTCTTCACGGTAATGAAAAAAGAAAGTAACTTTAAGGGGTATACTGACACGGATGTTAGTCAATTTTAAAGACACACTTTTTTTGTCATCATGAAAGTGCTAATTAACAGCGCCAGTGAACATGAATTCTGCAAAGACCGTGAAACCTTTACCCCAGTCCTTCAATCATTGCACTACCCAAGCCTCCCGGGCACCGACCACTGAGAAGGGCTCCCGGGCACTGGTCACTCACGCTTCCCCCGTTCCTCACGGCCGCTGGCCTGTCCCGCAGGTCCCTAGGGCCAGAGCGGGAGGCATGAGCTGCGTCCCCGGTAGAGCCTGCAGCGAGGATTACGAGCCTCGCCCCCCAGCCCCCGGGCGCCGCCATTGCTCCGCTGCCGGAAGTGGCCGGGCTCAGGTCCCGAAGGATCGGGGCGGGGCCGGTGACCCGGCCAATGGGGAGGTGGTCAGGGGGCGACGCACTCCGCCCCGGGAACCACCGCCTATGGGGGTCGCCGGGCCGGAGGGCGGAGGCCAGACGGAGAGCCAATAACAGGGCAGAGCTGGGGAACACAGCCCACCCCGCAGCGTCAATAGCCAATCCAAGGCCGGAAGCCGGGCGACCCGAAGACATTCAAATCAATTCAACCTCCTCCCTCCTCTCCGTCCCTCTACGAAAGAGAAAAAAAGCAGGCCGCGGAAACACGGACCCGTGCCAGTCACAGCGCAAGGCCCGCCCTCATCCGGCCCAGTAACCAACGGCTCAGCAGCAGACAGATAAGGACAGTCCATGGGGACGCCACAGCCAATCATAAGGAGGTCGAAGCGGTACGTTCACAATATGCTAATAAGCCTCTTATAAATACCGCTGCGAAACCGAGTTTCTGGTAGAGCGCGCAGGGGCGCCTCGCCAATCGGAGGTTTCTGTGCATTTCGCGGCTGCCGGTGGCTTCCCACCTCCCCCCCACTCTTCCGTTTCCCTGCTGCGCAGCCCTTGTAAACATGAGTAAACTCCGAGTGACGACCTACGTTCCAAACAGAGCCCCCAATGCCGTGCCTGACCTGGCAGGAAAGTTTCCCAACAGCCAACAATTCCCAGCGGACATGAACCCTCCGTTTCTCTCCGGCACTCTGGGCAGCCGGGGCTGCAGACAACAACCCACAGGTCCTCTCCCTTGCCATGTTCCTCTCCAAGCCCATGGTCTTAGCATGCGCCCCCCGAGCGAAGCACAGATGGGCGACTTGTCTCATCCTTCCCTCCCTTTTCCTCCCCTTCCTCCACCGTACGCAAGGAATAAAGCCCTGGCCCTTCGCAAACTACACCCGGCCGCGTCGGCCCCCACTCGGTGTCCAGCGCCGCGGGAGGCCCGGGGGGCTGGGCGGGGGCGACTGGGGCTACACCGCGCATAGCACCGACCCTGGACTTTATATAACACTCATATTCGGACCTGGGTGGAGGTGGCTCCGGAGATGGCGAGCAGGGCCGGGGGACCCCACGTCCGCAGCGCCCTCCCAGCAACCCTGCGCGTAGCTTCATCTCTGCGCCCCTCAGCCCTAGCGAACGCCGCACATCCCTCCTTCTGCGCCGTAGCCTGCGCCCCTAAGCCCCCTCCCCCGCAGCACCCCGCCTCGTCACTTCACTACAAAGAGCGCTTTGCTCGCGCAGCCTGGCATTGAGACCTCTCATTTCTCCTTCCTCCTCCGTGTCCTGGCTTCGCGCACAAGGACCTTGGCGAATCAAAGACGCTCCAGACCTTTTGTTCCTGCCGGGCCAGGGCCGCCGCCGCGGGCCCACGGCTACCCGGGAAGGGAACAGGACGACCCGCGGCCCCGCGGCGAGCCGGGACCCGCGGGG